GTTTCCTCACTTCTAAAGGAGGTAATAATATACCTATGTCATTGGTTTTCTGATGGGATTAAATTAAATAATCCACGTAAAGTGCATGGCCCATTGTCAAAACTCAATTTTAAAAAGGCAAGTGAATTCATACATTTACCATCACAAACTTCCGAAAGTGTATGAACCCCAAGACTGAAATATTCTGTCTTTCATCAGTAGAAAGAAAATGTGATGAACAGGTACCTGCATCTTCTCGGGAGAGAGCTCTAAACTGGCATTAAAGTTACCTGCATGTTAGGCTTTTTAGAAGCATACAACCAGAGGAATTTAATTTATTAGAAGTGCAAGGGTTACAATAGCTTACAGTCTTGTCACTACATTTTATACCTTGTTCTTAGACCTTTTCATTAAAACAGAAGAATAAAAACCCTGCTACGAGGTAGAGGCTGAAGATGGAAACAGCTCATTTAGTTTCTCCCTACCCTTCATTTTGAAGTTCCTAAATGTAGAAATCCTATTCGCATATTTGTTTGTAAGTTTTCTCTCTAGTGAAAAATACTTTATCGTTCTGTCCACGGGGAATTAATTAAACAGAATGTGGAAAAACGTAATCTTCAGGGAGCTTCACTGTGAGTACTCAGTAAATACAGCACAGCCAAGGGACTCTACAGAGACCTGACCTACAGTGGACTGAGGCTGGGCTTTAGAACCAGCCAGTTCCAGATAACGATTTTCCTGAACTTTGAGCAACACACTTCATTGTCTTGTAGCCTTTTGATTTATAATATTGGGTCTAATCACATCTGCATGATTTGTAGGGAACGTTTATAAAATATATGAAATAATTATCATTGATCAACTGGGTTATTAATCTCCTCCAAAAATAAGGTGCTAACATATGAATAAAATTTACACCTGACCCTCTAGCTCTGGCCCAGTACTAGATTGGCCTTCAAAAGTCCAAGTCAATTTGTTGTGTGGGAAGAACGTAATACCAGGAATCAGGAAATGTTATTCTACTCCTGGCTCTGCCAATAGCTAGTTTTGTAATCATTGGTAATCAAATCACCCCTCAGTTGCCTCAAATGTAAAAGTAGAGGGTTGAACTAGATCAGGGAGGGAAAATACCTAACATGTGCCACCTATTCTGTCATTCTGTGCCCACAGCAGACATTGTTAATCAATCACTGAGATTTTTCTACCAAATTGGGAAGCTGCTTCTGAATTCTTCTCAGCAAAGCATTGTAGGCAGCCACTGCCAATCAATTGGAGTTGGCAATAAAAGTAAAACTTACTTGCCATGTTTGGGCCAGATGATCTCTAAGCATTCTTTTAATCCTAACATTACTCAAAGGTCAAAATGAGTCTATGAAATAGCAAATCCCAGGAGACAAATATCTTGGCAAGTCTTATTTCCCCTTTTCACGTTCCAGCCTATAAGAGTGTTAAGGACTTCATCTGCAAGGCCTGCCCACGAGGATACTCTGTTCTTCCATCATTACATTCTGCTTTTTGTTTGTCCAAAATGAAAACAATTTAATTCATTTTTCCCCTAATTCTAAAAATGCTTACTGTAAAAATTTGAACAATGCAGAAAAGATGAAGAAGTGATAAAAGTGAATTATCTGATATTGGACACTCATTATTTGGTAACTAGCCCTGCAGACATAGCTCTAGGTATACGTGTTTTTCTGTATTCTGTTTATTTTCCCCATACAGCAATGTTATGTACGGGCAACTTTGCATATCACTCCAAAGCTGCGCTTCTTAGTCTCTTCTCAACGTACTCATAAAATTCCATCTTTGTCTGTGGCTCCCTCCTATTCTGCTCAGCGAAACTTTGCTAGTTAGCAGATTGAAAGAGCAAAGGATCTTTAGACCTTTACCGCAACCACACTTAAAGATGTGGTCAAATTCTCCAGGCTCCACTCTAGTATATACAGAATGGAAAGATTTGCAAAGCTTGTGGTTAAAATTCAATTTGAAAAGGAAATGGACCCAGTGGCTTGGGAGAAAAGCAGTGTTCCTCCCTAACACTACACCCCACCCCCACTTTTCTACTTGTTATTATAAAAGTAATATTTACTTAGGAAAATACAGACTAGCAAAAATGAGAAAAATAAAATCATCAGTAAGTTAATCAGAATAATAATGGTTAACATTTTGGACTATATGTGTTCAGTCTCTTTTTCCTGTGCATGTATATTTATATAGGTATCAACAGATATAATTGAAAAGCACTCTTTTAAACTTCTGGGTTTTTCTCTTTACTCACTGCCCTGCGGTTCCTGCAGAGTACTGTTTCTATTATGACCAGGAAACTCTGCAAGTTAAAACTGGCTTTGGAGATACACAGCTCTTTTATCAAGCAGTTTGCATAGTGAGGTGTGCACCCCGAGGAACCAAGGTTATGGGTGTGTTTTGAAATAAATACACCAATTATTTTGAACGCTGCTATAGTGGAGTTCAGTTTATCCATGGGGCATGCTGCTCCCGAAGTTCAAATTCCCTCAGAAGATATTCAACAAGTATCTTACATAACTGGTATAAATGAGGTCACGTTAGGGCCAAAATCTCTATGCATTTACACATCTGACTACTTAATTGATGAAATGCCTGTGTTCCTTAAGTGTATTTTGATAAGGAGAATATCTCACTATCGTCTATCTAATAGTATGATACTGATGCATGCTGTGATGAGGTGATTTACTTTTGTTTTTTAAAGATTGGCACCTGTGCTAACATCTGTTGCCAATCTTTTTTTTGTTTTTTCCTTCTTCTCCTCCAAGCCCCACAGTACACAGTTGTATATTCTAGCTGTAGGTCCTCTGGTTGTGCTATGTGGGACACCGTCTCAGCATGGCCTGATGAGCGGTGCCATGTCTGCGTCCAGGATCTGAACCGGCAAAACCCTGGGCCGCCGAAGCGGAGCGCACAAACTTAACCACTCAACAACCGGGCCGGCCCCAAGGTGATTTACTTTGTATGTAGCAACAAATATATATTATAGGACAGATACCCTCCTCATTCACAGGAAGGGGCAGCCAGGAGAAACCTTGCCTTCTATATCCAATATATGCTGTTTTGGTTATCTGTTGCTGTGAAACAAACCACCCCAAAACTCAGTGGCTAAAAACAACATTATAATCTCTTGCAATTCTTTGGGCTGACTGGGCTCAGCCAGGCAGTCTTCTGCTGGTGTTGCTTGGAGTTTCTCATATATGGTTGCAGTCAGATAGCAGCTGGGGCTGGAGTCCTCTGGGGCTTGACTTAGGGTGGAAAGTCCAAGATGGTTTCTTCACTCACAAGCCTGGTGCCCTTTTGCTTCATATAGCCTCTCTCCACTTGGAGTCTCATCCTCCAGGGTTGTCCCCATGGCCTCTCTTCCCATGAAGATAGTCAAACTTCTCACATGATGGCTGACTTCTAAGAGTGTAAAATCAGAAGCTTGCAGGCCTTTTTAAGGCTTAGGCAGAGACCTGGCCTACTGTCACTTCCAGCCTCCTTCCCTAAGTTAAAGCAAGTCACTCGATTCAATGTGGGGAGACTACACAAGCACATCAGTAGCAGGAAGGGTGGTTCATTGGCTGCCACCTTTGGAAACCAGCTACTACAAGCTGAACAAATTTAGAATTTCAACTCTAAATCCAAGAGAGTCTGGATATTTTCTGGCTTGAAGATGGAGTACAATTAAGAGGAAGTGAAAAGAAGAGGGAAGAAGCCTCAAGGTGATGAAGAATTTTGAAACAGTGGTACTTTCTTGGGCCTTTCAAACTTGGCAGATTAGATCACCAAGAAGAAGGTGAAATAAATGGGTCATCACATCACCATTACCCAAATTTTGTGAACTCAAAAGGCTTACTTGATGACGCTTATTTTTTTATAAGAATTCTAGATCAAAGTATTACAATCCTCACACATTTCTAGCATACATGGAGGGTTGTCTTTCCAAAGACAGCAAAAAAATTCAGACATGAATGGAAATATACAAGGGTTAGTAGAATGTGAAACCAATTGGGGGAAAAAATAAAATAGTAGCTAGGAGAGCCTAGCAGTAGAAAGGACTCCCCTGGCACTGGGACAGGAGAGAAAAACCAGCATCCTCTATCCTGTTCTCCTGGAACTTCTCAGCGTGGAGCAACTGTGGCCCAATAGCATAACATGGAAGTTTGGAGGGCAAGGCCTAGGTTCACACATGAAGACATCTCATCTCAGTGTTTGCCGAGACTGGGAACCTCTTTGACAGGGGTGGTCTAAGACTGTGGTTCCCTTTCCTTGTGCTGAACCACCGTTCAAAGCCAAACAGCTTTTCCTTAGTGTTTATTTTTCTTAAACATGTTCAGATTCTTATATTGTTCTCCTCCCTTCGAAAATATGTACTCTGCAGGTGCCTGAAATAATATACATTCAGCAACTGCAGTTTTGTAAAAGTAAAGGTTATTTCATTCAGTCTAAACTCAATGGAAAATTGTTGCTTAACAAGGAAATACCAAACACTTTATAAACTCCTTGAGGGCAGCAATCATGTCATATATGACTTTGGTATCTCCTGCCTCCTGGGCTTACTGTCTGCCTTCACAGATTTAGTAGTTTTAATAAGTAACTTGAATTGTTAACAATATACTCTTGTGCCCTTCTTTGACGCAGAAATGTCATTTCGTTATGTCTTTGCATGTTTCATGTCAGGTCCATTGTAAATAATCTCCCCTAAACTTGTTTTCAGTGTGCAGATTATTTTGCAGGCTTTTCACATAACAGCTGAGAGGGTTTAATTCAAGGTGAAGACGCTTGCTTCAATTACAAGGAATTAATTTAGGCTTCACTTACCTCAAGGAATACTTGACCATATTAATTTACACATAAATCCTGTGAGTGTCAAATTACTCAACCAAGAGAAGGTAGTTCTTTGCAGGTTATAGCGCGTTGATCTGCCATACTCAGGCTTTTTTTTTTTTTTTTTTTTTGGCGACAGGTTTTTGAATGAAATAGTAAAACCACTGCGGGCACAGTCTACTCACCTGGTTTTGCATAATTCCAAGAACCTAGAAACTGAAAAGTAGGCATGTTAAAGAGTGAGAAAAATTGTTAACGTATAAGAGAAAAAAAAATTTATTCTCTTTTAAATCTTAAAAGATGTCATAATATTCCTGTTTTCAAGTACTTGAAGTTTTAAAACTACAAAGAGAAAGGTAAAAATTACTCATGATTCTACAACTATTAATATTTTGGCAGACAACTTTCAATTTTTTTCTAGGTACATGTTTTTACAAAACGAGTCCATATTATACAAACAAGTTATTTTATAACTTGATCTTTTTTATTTTTTAAGTTATGTCGTGCGTGAAAAGAAACTTGTAAAGGTTATGCATGTTGTAGTATTGCACAGCGTTCAAGGACGCCATCTCTGGTGTGGTGTGCGTGCTCTGCTGGGAAGAGAAGCTCTTGGTGGACAATACTGACCACTCTCGGACCAAGAGACTTCTCGGTTTGCCCTTGGCAACCTGAGCCTAACGAGAGTGCAAAGCGCGTGGGAGTAAGTGGAGGGCGCTTAGGGTGACTGCGAGCACGAGCTCCCTGCGCGGGCCACATTTCCCCTGGGCAAGTCCCACTGGCTCCAGCCCCGGAGGGGACCGAGGGCAGAAGGCCAGTGCGCGGTGCGCACGGCCCGCGTCCCAGCCTGCAGCCCCCGCCCCCGGGGCTGGCACCACTCACGGGCAGTTGGGTGAGATAAAGCGGGGCAAGGTTCTGCAACTCCAAATCAGGGAGGCGCAGCTCCGACACCAGCGCCTTCGCCGGGTCTCCAGGCGTGTTCGTCCCAACTGTTTAAACTGTTTCAAAGCGCCGGAACCCGAGCGACCTTCGGCAAACAACTCTTAATCTCGCGGGCGGACAGCATTAGTCTTGTTTGCCGAGGAGAGCAAACTGAGAGGGCGCACCGGGGAGCTAAGGCAACCCTCCTCCCGGCACCCCGCCCGCCCGCAGGGACCCCCGCCCCCAGACCGCCGGCTTCTTGCGTCAGCCGCGACGAGGGTGGGGGATTTTCGGAAGCTCGGCCCGCGCGGCCGGCGGGGAAAGGAAGGGCCCGGGCTCTTGCCCCGCCCTCGGGGGGCGGGAGGCGGAGCGGGACAGGAGCCCGGCCGCCGACTCCGGCTGTGTCGCGGAGAAGCGAGTGCCGGGGAGACCTGAGGAGCCGCTGCTGCCGCCCGTGCCGCGCCTCGAGAGCCGGGACAGGGCCGCCGTCGGGGAGCCCCAGAGCACGGTCCCCACCTCAGTATGATGGACTTGGAGGTGCCGCCGCCCGCACAGCCGTCCCAGCAGGTGCTGCCCCGGCCCTCCGGGCCCTGCGGTGGTGTCAGGACGGGGGCAGGGAGCGAGGGAGCCACGGCCCGGAAGGGACAGCTGCAGCCGGCTTCTCCTCCCGTCTGTGGCCGGAGCCAGGACTGCAGCGGCCATGCACTGGAGCCGCTGCGCTTGCGCCGGGGCCGGACTGGGAGGGGGAGCGGGGACCCAAGGGGCCGCGAGGGGAGTCGGGGCGCGGCTGGGTGGCCCGACCGACAGTGTGCCCGCGGCCCCTGAGGGCGACTGGGTTGGGGTTTGGGGACTACGCCCAAGCTCGGGGGGGAGGGGCGTCTCTAGCCGCGTCCCCGGCCGCCGGAGCTGGGTCACCGGAGCCCCGGGCAGCCCCCCGAATTTGAGCGGCCCCAGGGGCAGCAGGGCAGGAGGGGGCGGACGCTGGCGGTCTGAGCTGGCGCAGCCCGGCCCTTCCGGGGCTGTGCGGCTCCCCCGCCTCGGAGTCACAAAAATGTGCCTAGTCACGGGGCCGCTCTCGGGGGAGTTGAGGTCTCCTCGGGGCAGGGACCCGGAGCCCCTCCTCTGCCGCCGCCCCCGGCCCCGACCTCCGGGGGCGCAGGCTGCGGCGCGGCGCTCTTCCCCCACCCCGGGCCGTCTAAGGGTGAAAGTAATCCATCAGTCCATCCATCGGATCGCTCTTAGGCAGTTTGGCGAGAAAGCCCAACCCCCAGGGTGGGGGAGGGAGGAGGTCCTGAAGTGCCCAGCCAGCTCCGACGCCCCGACGTGCGGCGGCGCCACCGGGCCCCGCGCGCTCCCTCGCGCGGTGGGAAAAGTTCGGGCTCTTAGACCTCGGGTCGGCCCCTCGCGACGCGCGGGGAAGTGCGGGTTGGGGCAGCGGGCTCTGAGGTCGGAGTCGGCCGCGCCCCGGGCTTCTCGATCCCGCGCGGTGCCTCCCCGTGGCGCACGCCGCGTTCGGGGCCTCGGCCTCCCTGACAGTGGCCTGTTGGCTGTCACGGCGGCCCTCGGTTGGCCCTTTCCTGCTTTATAGCGTGCAAACCTTGCCGCGTCGGGGCCAAGGGACAAGTTGGAGCTGTTGATCTGTTGCGCAATTGTTATTTTCCCCAGGGCGGCTTTGTCTTTGGATTTAGCCTCTCAAATTTGCGATTCCAAAATGTATAAGGCAGAATATTCTGTTCTCTGCTGTCAAGGGTAAGAGTTGCGGGTGTAAATGAGCATTTCTCTTGCTTTTAGATTGTTAGTAATGTTTTGCTTTCATATGTTATTTCTCCTTTGAGTGCTTTATATAGTTGTCCTTTTCTGTTTGAGAATTTGCCTCGATTTCTTAGCATGTTGCTTCTTTTGCAAGGGCGGAGGATGGGACGTTCGTGTTTCATAATGCTTTGCTAACAAGTTCTGTAAATTGTTATAAAAGTGAACAAGTTTCTGTTCATACTTTGTAGGGACTTTTAAAGGAGTAGATATTTATGTTTCCAAATTTTTTTTTTTTGTAATTGGGTTCTTGGGGGAAAAAAAAATTTGGTTCAAGGAAATGTGTAACTTAATAGATACAGTAAATACGTTTGTGCTCTTAAAGGTAAAGTTTTAGATTGATTTTGAAGATCTAAAGTAGGATTTTAAGTTACTGACATTGCATTCATTATGCTTTTTTTTCTTAAAGCTTTTGGTCTTGAACTTTCCCCCAGTAATGATTAGGATTGTATTGCCCGGATTCCCACTAGTGTGAAAAAGTAAATTGTGCTTTCCGTTTAGCTGCTGTTCAAGAGTAATCTATATGAGCAAAAGATATGTGATGCTAATGCACTTAAGTTTTCCTAAATTCGAGAATCGTAGCCTAGAGCCTTCTATTTTTTCTTTCTTTCTTTACTATGTAGTTTAACATTCCGTATACAGAGATGCATGAAGCATATGTGCTGCTTTCTCTTTTAAATGTGAATTTTCCAGTTTTGTTTGATAAGGTAACCGCCTTTCCACCTTTGTAATCAGACATCAGTCTGCATATTTGAAGACTATGACAAAAGACAATACAGTAAAACTTAGAATCAATTTCATGTTTATAACTGTGATTCATATTAAATCATTGTTTGTAGTCCAGAAAGATTTGAACAGTCAGAAATGGATTGTGACCTTTTTTCAAAGAAATTCCAAGTGTGAGTTGGTTTTGTGATACTGTTTTTGGCCCTCTGTGCAGAGGCCGTTTGACGAACAGGGCAGGAAGGTGGGTCTTAGATTCTGTATCTCCATTAGGTGGAAGCCATCCATTACTCTTTTCAAGGGTGTCTTGGAGAGATAAAGTACTTTGGTCTTGGACTAGACCGATAAGATTATTTTGAAAGAAAAATAGGACAGGCTTCTCATCTCCTGAATGAATGTTAACCAAAGAACAACTTGACTTTTTAGACAGGTGAAAAATCTCTCGAGATTGTGGAAGCAGCATGCAGGAGGATAAATAACACAATTCACATCTGTCTTTCTGCATTAAAAATAACTCGGGCCATTTTGGAATCTTTCTTTCTGTTAACTTGGGTTTTTATAAACAATGCTTGGGGGAAAATAGTGTCTTCCTTTAGGATTACCAGGAAGAGTTGAAAAGCAAATACATTACTTTTCTTAATATTTATTTTTATTCGGGATGAATTATACTTACAGAGCTGCATGAGAAAAGGAATTTGTTATGGAGTATAAGCACATTTTTGCAGGGGGGGGCGGATTTCCTCTCTGCTGGCTGAACACATTTAAAGGGAGCTTTGCATAAATATTATTTCCTCTTTAACTGTCCCTTCATCTGTGGTTAACTTTTCGGTGTAAACTCTTGGGTGCAGGAAGAATTTGGCACTAAGATTATAATGGATGAGTTATCAGGTGCTTCCTTGCACACTAGGCAGTGTGATAATTGCTTCACGTGTATAATTTCGCAGTAACCCCCTGGGAAATACTATTAGCTCCAGTTTCTAGGTGAGAAAAGAGGCATGGGGAGGGCAAGAGTCCTGCTTAAAGTGACCCAGCTATTGAGTGGCAGAGGTGGGATTCCAAGCTAGGTGGTCCACCTCCAGATGGCTCTTAATCACCCCTGCCAAACTGGACCAGGACTCATTAAACTTCAAACAGGAGGAAAAGTTCACACTTTAAAAAGTGGATAAATTGAGAAAAACTGGGGGAGGGAGAGGCAGGAATTAAAAAGATTGATCTCTGCACTTTTGCCCTTACCAGGAATTTCTGTGTATGTGAGGGGGTGGTGGCCTTCTTGAAGATAGTGAGAGTAAATACAACCTATCGGTGGAATTAGCACATGGGGACCTTTTAAGGAAGACACAGGGGCCTAGGGGGGTTAATTTAGAGAAGCAGGACTATTTCTTAATATAATCATTGTTTTTTTTTTTTTTTTTAAGATTGGCACCTGAACCAACAACTGTTGCCAATCTTCGTTTTTTCTTTTTTCCTCTTCTCCCCAAAGCCCGCCAGCACACAGCTGTATACTCCAGTTGCGAGTGCCTCTGGCCGTGCCATGTGGATGCTGCCCCACCGTGCCCATGTCCACACCCAGGATCCGAACCGGTGAAACCCCGGGCTGCTGAAGTGGAGTGTGCAACCTTAACCACTGGGCAACCGGGCTGGCCCCGATAATAATTGTTTTTTAAAATTCCTGGGATTTCAGCAGTGCCCGAGATTCTGCCTCACGCTTATTCAGGGACCGTTTTCCTTTTTCTTCATTAAATCTCCTGGCATCTTTGTTCTCCTTTGTTTGCCTTGTTAGTTGGTACCTTCCCCTGTCCCGTTGGCTCTTTTCATTTGGAAGTCGTGGTCAAAAGTAAGTTTGGTACTGAAGATGTATATCGTGATGAGTGGGACAGACAGGCTTAAGCCAGGTTGAAGGAAAGCAGGGAGAATGGTGAGAATTTGAGCTGGCAGCTAGTGGAAACCTGTGGCTCAAATTAGGCACTAATCTTCTGTTTTGGCATTGCTGAATTGAAGCAAGCATAAGGGCTCAAGTGGAAGCTTCCTGGGGGTTTTGAGAATACTACATTTCAAAGTTCAAAACTTTATTTCTTAGTTTTTTTTTTTTATTAAGATTATGATAGTTTACAACCTTGTGAAATTTCAGTTGTACATTATTGTTAGTCATGTTGTGGGTACACCCCTTCACACTTTGTGCCCTCCTCCCACCCCCCACCCCCTTTCCCCTGGTAACCACCAATCAGTTCTCTTTGTCTGTATGTTAACTTCCACCTATGAGTGGAGTCATACAGAGTTCGTCTTTCTCTGTCTGGCTTATTTCACTTAACATAATACCCTCAAGGTCCATCCATGTTGTGAATGGGATGATTTTGTCCTTTTTTATGGCTGAGTAGTATTCCATTGTACATATATATCATATCTTCTTTATCCATTCGTCAGTTGCTAGGCACTTAGGTTGGTTCCACGTCTTGGCTATTGTAAATAATGCTGCAGTGAACATAGGGGTGCATGGGACTTTTGGAATTGCTGATTTCAGGTTCTTAGGATAGATACCCAGTAGTGGGATGGCTGGGTCATAAGGTATTTCTATTGTTAACTTTTTGAGAAATCTCCATACTGTTTTCCATAGTGGCTGCACCAGTTTGCATTCCCACCAACAGTGTATGAGGGTTATTTCTTAGTTCTTATCGTTGAACAAATTGTTTTCAGAATTATTGTCTTATTTGTGTGAATTAAGTGGGCTGCAGGATTTTTAGGATCCACTGGATGATTTGCATAAAAGTTGGCCTGAGTAAACCCAGGGTATTTAAATGCCTGTCTCAGCCACTTCTGAAAGTTTGCTGAAATCTGTTGCACACCAGGCTATAGGAGAACAAGTTTACCATATGCAGTATTTAACCTGCTTCCTTTACCTTTGACTGTCTAAGTTTACTATAAAAGGGAGAATAGAGTTTACATTTTGATAATATGATTTCTAGAAGTTATTAAAATTTCATTGCTACCTGCTTTTAAATATACTCCAACAAACATTTATTAAAAGGGCTCTAAGGTATAGGCCAAGCCCTCTTTAATTGATAATGGTGTGTTTTCTGGAAATGAAAGCAAAAATACGTTTAAGTGTATAATTCCCTAACAGTATTAGAAAAATACAAATCGTGTTCCTGCACCAACCCTTCCCCCCACCTTAAAAAAAAAAATAAGACTTGCGAAACAAAATCCTCCCCTGCCTAAAATGAGAGTTTTCTATGTGTCAGCTCCTGCCACAGGGAACACTTTTTAACTATTAGTATTAAGAATTTTAGGAACTCTGAGGGTAGGGAGCACCTTTAACCAGCCATTTCTATGGCCTGCGTCCTATAATACCTGTGTGTCACAGAGCCTCATCTATGAACGTCTTTATGTGTGTGTGAGCATGTGAGTTTATTTGGCCCAAACTCTGGGGGCAGTAAAGACAAATCCAGGGCATAGGAAGGATTCAGAGCACCACGGCCATCTTTCAAAGGCCCTGTTGATAACTGACTCAAGAGGCATTATAATCCATCAACAGTCTGTATTCTGAAGGATTAAAACAAAACATTCCTTGGCAATGCTAAGTAGTCATTCCTTTCTCACAAGCTTGGAAATTGAGACTGTGGGGCCTGTAGTATGGGCAGCATGCTGCCGAGATCCGAACTCTCCATTGCTTTGTTCAAATCAGAGAAGAATGATTGGATGAGAAAAGAAAAATCAGATCATTTTGGCTTTGAAGCCTTCTCCTGAAGTTTTTATTTTCTGCATTAGGCAATTCTCTTTAATGGCCTTTTAAAATCTCTGATACTTATCTGTGAATCTGTGGTTTTTTGGGTTTTTTCCTCTACAGCTAGATCCTAACTTTCTTTCGAGCTGGGTATTGCATTTATATTTCTTTCTTTTTTTTTTTTCCAGCTTTATGAAATGTAATTCACATACCATACAGACCACCCATTTAAATTGGACAGTTGATTGATTTAGTGTATTCAGTGTTGGACAGCTGTCACCACAATCAATTTTAGAACATTTTCATTACCCCATAAAGAAACCCCATATCTGTTAGTAGTCACCCCCCATTTCCCTTCAACTCCCTGGTAACCACTCATCTATTTTCTATCTCTATGGAGTTGTCTGTTCTGGATATTTCATATAAATGAAGTCATACCATATGTGGTTTTGTGTGACTGGCTTCTTTCACTTAACATCGTGTTTCTAAGGTTTGACCA